TGAGCAGGGGAGGGTCAGAGAGAGAGGGAGTCACAGACTGAAACAGGCTCCAGGCTCTGAGCTGGCAGTCAGCACAGAGCCCGACGCGGGGCTCGAACCCATGAACCGCGAGATCATGACCCGAGCGAAAGTCGGACGCTTAACCAACTACGCCACCCGGGCGCCCCGAGACCAGTAGCTTTTTAATAAAGGCACAGAACTTTCCTGAGAAGTTAAACTGGAGAGTTTCCACCTGAAGGACGGAAATTGCTAAGAGGCAATGTGTAAACCTCACACACCGTATCATGTACTCTGCAGTAACATATTACATTTCTCTCTAAGAAATACTCCTGTTTAGTGCACCTTTACTTTTCCAATATCAAATCTTCTAAACTATAACCTCTCTTTAAGCACTTCCCTCTAACCTTAATTTCCTTATGTTCCCATTACTTGATAAAATTACTTTACACTTAAAGAACTAAATATTTATGTAATAAAACTAGAAGATAAATAAAACTCAAGTTAATTTTCTCTGCAGAGCTGTATGGAAGTGAGGAAAGTGCTCTTATTTAATTCTTCTCTGCCCTCCACACTCCTGGACATTTGCTTTCTGGTAAGTCTGGGGTTGGGGAAGGTGCACCTTACTCTTATTCTCCTATATGCCCTTTTGAGGTAATATTAGAACCCAAGGGGAAAATGTTGGCAAAGTTGTCATACACCAAGCAGCCAATTACTCCTGAAATGAAGGAAGGTTCATATGGTCTCTCCTAAACAGAAGAGAATGTCCAAGAGATAAAATGTTTTAAAAAACCCACTGTCGATAACAGTTAACCTCAGCACTGGGTTCATCTGAGTGCTTAGGAAAAGAAAGGAATCAAGTAGCAGTATTCAGAAACAGTTATGGGTTACAATCTGATGAGGTCTCTCTCTCTCACTCAGGGAGAGGTTGCTTTTTCATGTTGGTAGGGAGGCAGGAAGGAGGCATGGCTTAGGCACTGGTGGTGGTCTCCTTAATGGGCTGGATGCTGTTGATCTCCACAATGAGACCTTTGTCAGCTCTAGTGGCCTCTTTTACCTAACCTTCAAAGGCTCATGTAATTTCCTCAAAAGTCCTGGCATGGGTATCAGGGACTTTGAAAAAGATGAAGACCAAGAAGATAACGAGGAAGCCAGTGAAGACAATAAAAACGTAGGCTCCTAAATAGAATCCAGCTGAGGGGGAAGAGCAGCCCAACCAAAGAGTTGGAGGTCCAGCTGGAATAACCAGCCTCTGCCATTGCAGCTGGGTGGGGTACATGAATGAAGAGTTTGGACACAATAAACCAGGGAATGGAGCCCGGGGCAATTTCAAAAAAAGGCATGAAGATCAAGACAGCTACAATACAGACAAAGCTCTTCCAATTATACTTGGCCTTTAATTACAAAGAAACATACATGAGGATGGAACAAAAAGCCATGTCTCCAAGGCTAATCAGAAGTAGAGTCTACCTTCCTGCTCTTTCGACCAGAAACAGAGAAACTACAGTGAAGATGGTATTAACCATACCCACACCAATGGTGGTATAGACTGGCTCCCCAATACCTGCATCTTTGAAGACTTCTATTGAGTAACGACACAGCAGTGCTGTGCTCAAAGCATTTGAGAGAGATGCTGGGAGAGCTGGAGTATGGTGGAAATGACAATATGCTGTCAGTAACTGGGCACTCTGAATAGCTCAACACAGCTTTTCTTGTGCCATCCTAGCACTCTCATCTTTCATCTCCTGATGTCCTGTCTGAGTCACATCCTGGGTGCCCCACAATCATTCGAGGATCTCCTTAGCACACTCCTCTTCCTTTCTGTTAATGACCAAGAATCTAGGACTTTCAGGGAAAAGTGCTGTACTTTGTAGGACAGCTAGAATGATGATGAAGCCTAAGAACAGGGGCCCCAAAGCTCTTCAGTCTCCAAGATGACTTTCAGACCAAAAATCTGAGCCACCAGAATCCTGGCAACAATGCCCAGCTAGAGAAATGCCAAAGCTCCCCCCACCCCATAGGGCAGTAGGAGATATCTCTCCAATGTACATGGGCAAAAAACCTGTGCAGTATCCACAGAAGAGACCAATAATCTATTGGCCCAAGATCAGCATTTCAACAGACTCTGCTACTCTGGAGAACCCCATAAGGCAACCACCAGGAACAGCCAATAGGCTGTCAATAAGCACTGAATCATGCCTGCCAAAGTGGTTGACAAAAGTCCAATGTAAAAGGAGCCAATCATACCACTAATGGAGAAGATGGCCACAGACAAGGACCAGAGGGACGTGAGTACCACCTCAGTGGGAGAGTCTTCTAATCTCTTTTCCAAAGAGTAATTGAGAAAATCTTTCATAATTGTCTCAGGAGCCCTGATGATTCCAGTGTCGTAGCCAAACTGGAAAGAGTCTATTGTATCAATAGAGATGGCAAAGAGACTTGCTGTGTTTCCCTAGCCCTAATTTAATTCTTTTCCACTCTTTAATAAATACCTAGGAGTGAGATCCCAGAGATACATCTTCTAGCCAACAAAACCTTCAAAATGTCCTTCTTGGCAGTAAGTTTTTCTTCAGGTCCCCAGTAAGGCCCTACATCTCACCCTCACTCTCCTGATTCTACTTGTTCTCTAAATGAAGGGACAGGTGCACCTGGGTGGCTCAGTTGGTTAAGCATCTGACTCTTGATTTTGGTTCAGGTCATGATCTCGTGGTTTTTGAGTCTTGAGTCCCTGCGAGTCCTGGGATTCTCTGTCTTCCTCTCTCTCTGTCCATCCCCTGCTCATGTTCTATCTTTCTCACTTTCAAAATATACATTTAAGGGGCGCCTGGGTGGCTTAGTCGGTTAAGCGTCCGACTTTCACTTAGGTCATGATCTCATGGTTCGTGGGTTCGAGCCCCGCGTCAGGCTCTGTGCTGACTGCCAGCTCAGAGCCTGGAGCCTGTTTCAGTCTGTGACTCCCTCTCTCTCTGACCCTCCCCTGCTCACGCTGTCTCTCTCTCTCCTAAAAATAAACAAAAAAAAAAACAAAAAAACCCAAAATATACATTTAAAATGAGTGAATGAATGAATAAATAAATAAATAAAGGGACAAACAACATGAAACAGTGTACAGCATGGTATTTTTTAAAATAAAGAAACACAACAAAGTAAGACTTTCTTAGTAGTAATGGCTTTACAGTGCTAGGCTCTTACAAAGCTCTCAAATACTTAAACTAAGTGTTCATCTAAGAGATATTTATCTAGATAGAAACAGAGTTGGGAGGGACGTTCATAGATATGAAAGCTTATGTTTTAATATATATGTGCATGTTTTCACCTACATTCATTCCAATCTTGCAATTTAGGTATTATTATCACTACATTACAGATGACAAAACCGAGGATAACAGAAGTGACTTAAAGGTTATCTCTAGGGGTGCCTCGGTGGTTCAGTTGGTTAAGTGTCTAACTTGGGTCAGGTCATGATCTCATGGTTTGTAAGTTCAAGCCCCACGTTGGGCTCTGTGCTGACAGCTCAGAGCCTAGAACCTGATTCAGATTCCGTGTTAGGTTGACTTACGATCACACTGATCTTCAGTTTCCTCATCTATAAAATGAGATTCTAATAATGCCCATCCTGCATAACTTGCAGGATTCATGAAAGTTATTTATGTAAGTTAAATAAGAGGATATACTGGATGATATATTGGGAAAAAAGCTGAGATCCCAAGGATTTTCTCAATATATCTATAGTGCTTCAAGAAAGCAGTTATGTTTCGAATGAGGCTGGTATAAAATATAAAAGTTCAGTACTTGCTTTGGGAAAATCACAAGTCATAATGAAAAAAAATCTTTCCAGAAGGAAATCTTTTATATTTCTAGAAATGCAAATGTTGTTCTTATTATCCTCCCACTCCAGGACCTTAAAGTTACTAGTAATTATTAAAATTATTTTCCAACTAATAGTTTATGCAAAAGATTCACCAACTGTTTTACATATGGAAAAGAGTTGTTACAAGTCACTTACAGGAAAGTAGATTTCCACAATTTCAAAATTCAGAAATCCAATTATAATCCAAACCAAGAGGGTAGCAATGGAAATGATAACAATAAAAGGCACAAAGTAGCCACTGAGTTTGTCTGCAAACTGCTGGATAGGAGCCTAGAATAATAATAATAATAATAATAATAATAATAATACATGTACGAAGGTCTCTTTTTATAATAGAGTATTATTTGGTATTACACACAAATATTTAAATAAACTCCATATTAATGCAACTAGAGTTAATCAAATAAAAATATAAAAAACTAGATCAAGATTATACTGAGCACCCTTTAAAAAAATTCTTTCTGTTTCTCCTAGGGAGTTAAGTTACCTTTGATGTTTGTGCCTCTTCCACAAGTTTGACAATTTGAGAAAGTGTTGTGTCAGCTCCAACATGGGTTGCACGGATAAGTAGTGACCCATTCTGGTTAATGGAACCAGCAATCACTGTGCTGCCAGATTTCTTAGCCACAGGCATTGCCTCCCCTGTATAAAGGAGTACAGACAAATTTAGTGAACATTAATAAATACTATCTTGAAACATGCTGTTATTCATTAATTGTCAAAAATATGCAGAAAAGAGATTCTTCATGAAATAGAATATGGACAAATGCCTAGGTGAAAGTTGCCCTCCCTTTTTCCTTATGTCAGTTCTGAGCCAAACCCAGGGATATATATCTTAAACTGGAAAAACCTATTAAGTCAACTCTTATAGGCAGACATTTTTAAAGCTCCACCCTAGTCTCAGATCATTGGTTTTCAATATGTTCCCAAGAAGCATTTAGAAATGTGGGAGTTCTTGTTTGTAATAACTACCGGTGGAGTATGTGGTGCTGCTCCAATTTTGTGGGCCAGGGTCAGGGATACTAAATATATTACAATATGTATGCAGTTCCCCAGAACTAGGAACTGTCCCATCTGAATTGGCAATAGCACCCTACTGAGAAACACAGAGTCCTAAATTATTTCCTCATAATCCATAAGCTGAGCCTCTTTTGGAGTTATCCTGAGGGTTAAGGCAGGGAAGGTATTATTTTGCTTCTGTTCTGGGTTGGCCTTAGTTAGCTAAGATCTCTAAAACTACTTTCTTATAGCATACCCTGATGTGGAACACCTGGAGTCATGTGCCAGCTCAGACCAGACCCAGTCTTTAGAGAAGGAAAACAAAATAGGTATTTGCTCAGGAAAATCTGCCAAAGTCTCTTGGGCTCTGCATTAGAATGAGACAACTTCCTTTGGCTACACATTCTAGTAATTAACAATCCTCAGTGAAAAAAGCTTTCAGTAGCATAACTAAAAACACAAAGTAAATCTGCAGAAATTGATTTAATACAGTCTTAAAAAGAATTCATATTCTCTTTGCTCATTATTTACTCATTCCATAGTTTCTACAAAAACAAGGCTCTCCACTTTTTATTCCTATTTTTCATTATCACTTTGGATTCACTTTCATGTCATGATCCTCTGAAAGAATATACCTGTGATAAGGGACTCATCTACCATAGAATGTCCTTCAATAACACGACCATCCACTGGGAATTTGCCTCCTGGAACCACTTTAATGATGTCTCCACGTTGTACAAGTTCCACATCCACTTGTTCTTCACTGCATAGGAGTTAAAATAAAAAGCATTGAGGTGCCTGTGTGTCTCAATTGGTTAATTGGCCGACTCTTAATACCAGCTCAGGTCGTGATCTTGTGCTTGTGAAATTGAGCCCTGCATCAGGCTCTGTGCTGAGTGTGGAACCTGCTTTAGACTCTCTCTCTCCCTCTCTCTCTGCTAATCCTCCCACCCTCTCAAAATAAATAATTAAAACTTTTTAAAAAATAATTAAAAAAATAAAAAGCATTGGGAAATAATGTTTCTTACCCTCATCCTTCCATGCAAGGTTGTTGGTTACTGTCAAGCTTCTAGCTCCATAACTGCTACCAATGGAAATTACAACTAACATTTAAGCTAGGAGCTACAATGTTAATCCTGTTCACTGTTGGGGAATAGTTCGGTACCAGGCACAAAACACATACCCTATGGGTTTGTTGAATAGTCACTGAATGAATAAATGAAAGTTTTAGAAAATAATGTGATGGGTTTCACTTAACTAAACAATTTATTTATTTTGTAAATTTGCCTACATAGTTTTATAAGTATTCAAATGAGAAATACAAAAGAATGAAATCTTTAAAAAAAAGACTGATATCTTATCAAGCCTTTAGCTCTAACTTCCAGTTTACAGGTAACATAGGAGTTAGAGAACAAGTTAGATGACAACACAAGGAAGCAAAGAGTTGAATTCAGACTGTGTGATACTTTGCAGGACAACTGATGGATGGTTCTCTAACAAGTTAATTGCATGGCAGAAGTTGGGGTGGTGGTGGGTGGGAGTAAGAGGGTGGTGAAGGAAGGAAAGAGGGTGGTGGAGGCAGAAAGGAGAGAGAACGAGAGGGAAGAGGTGTTTTAGATTAAAAGAAACATGTCAGGCAAATGCATCAACACGTGGACCTTGTTTGATTTCTATTTCAAACAAAGAAACTTTAAACTTCTGGTAGACAACAGGAGAAATGAGAATACACACTATATGAGATGATATTAAGGTATTGTTCATTTTGTTAAATGCAATATGGTATTATAGTTACATGAGAATATGTCTTTTTTAAGGAATATTTAGCAGTAAGACAGTATGACTGGAATTTTTTTTTTTTTTTTTTTACAGTTTATTGTCAAGCTGGTTTCTTTCTTCTTCTTTTTTTTTTTTTTTTTTTTTTTTACAAATAGTTTATTGTCAAGTTGGTTTCCATATAACACCCAGTGCTCATCCCCACAAGTGCCTTCCAACATGCCAATCTCGCCCCTCCCCCCCCACACCCATCAGTCCTCAGTTTGTTCTCAGCATTCAAGAGTCTCTCATGGTTTGCCTCTCTCCCTTTCCCCCACTATTTCCCCCTTCTTCTCCCTCATGGTCCTCCGTTAAGTTCCTCCCAATCCTCCTATACGTGCAAACATATGATATTTGTCCTTCTCTGCCTGACTTATTTCGCTCAGCATAACACCCTCAAGGTCCATCCATGTTGCTATACAAGGCCAGATTTCATTTTTTCTCATTGCCATGTAGTATTCCATGGTATAGATAAACCACATCTTCTTGATCCATTCGTCTGTTGATGGACACTTAGGTTCTTTCCATGTTTTGGCTATTGTGGAGAGTGTTGCTATGAACATTGGGGTCCATGTGCCCCTATCATCAGCACTCCTATATCCCTTGGGTAGATTCCTAGAAGTGCTATTGCTGGGTCATAGGGGAGTTCTATTGTTAATTTTTTGAGGAACCTCCACACTGTTTTCCAGAGGGGCTACGCCATTTTACATTCCCACCAACAGTGTAGGAGGGTGCCCGTTTCTCCACATCCACGCCAGCTTCTAGAGTCCTCTTATTTGCTCATTTTAGCCACTCTGACTGGCGTGAGGTGGTATCTCAGTGTGGTTTTGATGTGTATTTCCCTGATGTGGAGGGATGCTGAGCATCGTTTCATGTGTCTGTTGGCCATCTGGATGAATATGACTGGAATTTAAAATACTACTACAACAGCAGAAAGATACAGAAATGAAGTTTGGCCAAATGTGAATAACTTTTAAATCTGGGAAATAGATTATGTGAGTTCATTATACCCTTCTACTTCTGGGTATATTTGATATTTTTTTAAGAATTTAAAAATAGAAGGAGGAAAAATGAAAATAAATACCTCAAGAGAATATTATCAGAGTCAAGTGTTACAATAGTTGCTTCTGTAGCTTGTAGTGAAATTAGCTTGGCAAGAGCCTCTGACGTTTTGCCCTATAAATTAAAAAAAAAAATGTTAATAATGGTAAGGAAGAAAAATCTCACGTTTTACCAAAAATAAAGATATAATACTTAATACTTACCCAAAATATAATTTTAGGAATATTAATTAGTTCAAATTAGAAAATATTTCACTTCAAAAATATGAAGTATACAAAATATAAAATATATTAGGTCTAATTTATAAATAAATAATGTAAATTAATAGGAAAAGCATCAGGAACTCAGGTACATGAGCAAAGGACATGATTAGGAAATTCATATAAGAAATAAAATACCTGATATGTGGAAAAATGTTTACCCTTGATATTAATGGAAGAAATGCAAAAGAAAGCAACTCTATGATACCATTTAATGCATTGACTTAGCAAGAATTTATACAGGAGTTAATGCCGATGAAGTTGTAGTAAAACTACTTTACAAACATACCCTTACTGATAAAAAAAAATTGTTATAATATGTAGCATGAGCCATAAAAAGATTTATGGTCTTCACTCATATACTTTATAATTTATCCTAAGATATTAATTCAATAGAAACTACTATTAAACATGAATCTGTTAAATGTAAGTTTATCTAAAATTTAAAACTGGAAAGAATCTAATTGAGAACAAAACCAGAATGGTTTATTGACAGCACAATGATTTGCCAGAATATGATTCAGAAAATACCAAGTAATTATCTAGACTGCAAAAATGGGGAAAAAGCTATATAATGTTAAGGCTACAAACTGGTATGTATACTATGTTTGCCACTAAAATATAAAGGTATCTAGAGCAGAATTAGAAAAGTAATTTCCATTATAGTATGGGATTATGGGTGAATATTCTTTCCATCATTATTTTAAATCCTATGGTCACATCAATTTGCCTGTTAACAATGTGGTAGAAAAAATATTTATCAAATGTCTCTTTAAATGAACATGAATGTACTATACTATCTTCAGTATTAATTCCATATATTTGGTAAATCTTCTAAAGGAGTATTTAACTTAAAATATTGCCAAAACAGAAGTACTTCTTTTGTTAACTATATAATCAACACATATTTCCAATAATTGGTCTAGAAAATATTACGATCATTTATCCACCCACGATTGTAACAAATGTCACCCCTTCTTACGTTACCTTTGCTATATGTTCCAGCCACCGGCCTAGTGCAATAAAGACAAATAGCATAGGAGGTGTGTCAAAGAAAGTAATAGGGTTTACTTTGGCTCTTTCATACACTGCAACCAGAAGAATCACCAAAGAGTAGGCAAATGCAATGGTGGTTGCCAGCACAATCAGTACATCCATATTTGCAGTTTTATGCTTCAGGGCTCTGTAGGCCTGAATGTAGAAGTACCAGCCTCCAAAAAACTATAATACAGAAACAATAATTACTGCTTTTTAAAAAATGCTGAAATTCACATGTTTATCTTAGTAACAAAGATACAGTAACAATGTTCATTTCCTTTGACCTTTATCTAATCCATAAACACTAAGGAAGGATTTTAAGCTGAAACAATAGTGTCTATATTTTAGCAGGTATGTGTGTGTATGGATTCAAATTGCTGTAGAAGCCCTTGGCAGCTATCCTCTATGATCCAATGGATATTCCATAATATAAAGAAAGTCAGATGATTCTTGGATTTTTCTTTTAGTGCTAGCAAAAACAAGAACTAAGAAAACAATTACATTTTTTGACAAGGTTTTTTTATGGAAAACTCAGCTCCCCCTATCCAAAATTCAACCTAAGTGGTATATCACAAGCTATTGGAACTGCTGGCTGTTTTCACTGGTAAACATAACTGAGAAGCTTATTTTTCATTAGTATAGAGAAACACACTAAGATCTTCTTAAAATCATCATTACCTTTTATAAGGATCAGAAAACAGAATAGATTTATTAGATAGAAGTGTTCTACAGTAAAAGTTTATCTCAAACATACAGCAACTAATGAACTTCAGTGCCAGGGAGATATAATAAAAATAATAATAACATAATATTATAATTGCCACCATTATTTTATTTTATATACTAAATTAATAATTAAACAACATTTAATATACTAATATGAATATAATTAATTTTAATATATTTAGCATGGAATATTAAATACAAATATAGTTAAATAAATCTATTTTAGCTTTAAATATACAACTATATGTAATAGCAGATATGAATGCTAAATTCATATCTAAATATGAACTGAGCCCTTATTCTGTTTTGCCATTAAACAATATCCTTAGGAGTTAAATGGAATTTATTATCTACTTTAACCACTCAGTTTATAAAGCATCCACAGCATAAAATGATCCAACTTCTGCCTAATATCTATTTTGCAGCTGAAAGTAGCCTTACCTGTCACATTTTGCTATTTTTCATTATTAACATATATACTTGCTAGCATTTCACTTGCCTGTACAGGTACACACAATAGAAAGGATAGCAAATTCATAATGGACAGTCCTGGCAGGATCTGGCGCTCCAGGAACATAGAAGAATGAATGTTGATCATTTCTTCTTGACTCATGCTCTCATTATGGTGACGAGTTGCAAGATGGTGGTCCATCACCATCATATATATCATCAGCCCCATTACAGGAATACAGAAAAAGAGGCTCACAAGAAAGGACCGTCTCCACCTTACATAGAAAAGAAAAATCATTTGAATAAGTAGCTTATGGTTAAAGAGTCTATGTACTATAGGGAAATACAAATTGTGACCACTCCACTCAATATAAGGATGACACTATAAAAACTGACATGCCAACAGATGTCAAATTTATAACAAGGAGTCAAAATCTGTTTTTCACTGACACACCAAAAGCACTTACTGTCTTATTTCTCGTTTATGGTCCAGGTGGCTTGCTGACCGATCCTTTTTGACCAATGAAGCTTCAAAACCTAAGCTCTAAGGAAATTCATGAGAAAATAATTATTTCACTAAATGTATAAATATTATATAGAGAAATTCTAAGTCATGGTATTGTCATTAAGAACAATTCAACTCAATTTCTGAATGCAAGTCACTGTAGAGAATATAAAGATGAAGATGTGCTTCCTTCTCTTTTGTTTGTTTATAATCTTTCATCAAAGAAATTAATATTTCCCAACTCAAGTTAATATCTATCCTACTGTTCTCAAACTAATGATTTAACTCAAGTGCAGGTGTCCTCACTAGAGATTCTCATTACATCAAAAAGTAAGCTAAAGCTTCCATGAAGTAATGTTAGAAAAAAATCAGAATCTGTTGCTTGGTCAGGCTGACAGTGTTTGATGATGTAATAAAGACAGAATTCAATAGTAAAATCACAAATCTTATATTTAGATAAGTGTCATCCACTAGTATTAATGTACATTAATCACTTCTATCAAAGTTTAGCTTTGACATCTATCCATCTCTCCCCTGAACAAGTACAGAAAACTGATTAATAGGCCACAAAACTAGCACCATATTAAATATATTATTCAAGTCTTTGCATATGCAAGCTTTACTCTAATTCTATCACAAAAAAAGAACATGAACAAAAATTTTCCTCAATAAAACAAAGTATTAAGTACACATAAGTACACATAAGTAAGACTAATATATGCACAGACAGTAACATACACTGTATTTTCAACTGGTCAGAAAAATGCTGTCATCTTAAATTTGTTGGCAATGTAGCACAGTGAAAAAAACAACCATGAAATTTGGAGTCAGAAAGAAAGGCTCAAATCCCAGCTAGGACACTTACTAGCTATGTGACTTTGGGCAAGTAACTTAACTTCTCTCAACCTGAGTTTCTCCACCACCAAAATGAAGATGACAGCACTGTTGTGAGAATTAAATTAAGAGTTGAAGCTTTGCATTCTTGGTAACTGGCTCACAGTAGATACTTGACAATGCTAGCTTCACAAAGGTGTTAATGGTATTATTATCTATACTAATAGGATCTTATTTGAACTATTAATATCTTCAGATCATGATTACACCAAGGCTATACCACAGTAAAGCTTTTAAAGCAGTCTCACGTGTACTACCACCACTTAAGATTTATTGAAGATCACAGGATAAATTTGCTACCAAGACAAGAGTTTGGTCTTTTGAATTCCTTACTTTAACTTAAAAATACATCATTTGCAAGCAGAATCAGACCTATAAATACAAAGAACAATCTGATGGTTGCCAGGGGGGAGGTAGGTGGGAAACGAGTAAAATGGGTGAAGAGGAGTGGAGATACAGACTTCTAATTATGGAATGAGTACGTCATGGGAATAAATGGCACAGGATAGGGAATATAGTCAATGGTACTACACTAGTGTTGTATGCTGACAGATGGCAGCTACACTTGTGGTGAGCATAGCATAACTATGGAGTTATAGATCACTATGCTGTATACCCAAAAGTAATGTAACATCATTGTGTCAACTATACTCAAATTTTTAAAAAACTACATCATTTGCTTTGACCTAACAAACAAAGCATCTAGCATGATGCTTTGCTTTCTTAGTGATTAATTAATCTTACAACAAATTGTAATTTACTTTCAATTTCTAAATATTTTAAAATGATCTATGGTTATACCTACGGTCTGCTCCTGATTAATACTGTCGATATGCCTTTGCCTGACTCTTCCTGACAAACACCAAGAAAAAAAGGGGGTAAATACATGTTAAATTTGAGACAGATTTTATTGAGAGTAATCAGAGGGGCCTGATCTTTATCAGTCTATCTGATACAAACCAGAAGTGATTCAATGGAGTGCTGACTGAAAAGATACAAACACAGAAATGCAAAGTCTTAACACTTACTTCAACTGTATGGATAATATCCCTGGGGCCAATAATTTCTGGGTCATACTTAATATGTGCTTTGTTGGTTGCCAGGGCCACAGAACAGTAGAAGATTCCTCTGTGTTTTGTGAGGATAGACTCTATTTTATGTACACAGGAGGCACACGTCATTCCTCTCACCTGTTAAAAGACAAAGGTTTTATTATCCAGAAATCTACCTTTTCCTCTATTAAACATGACTTGTAACATGGGATTAACACAAAAGATCTTATCTGCACTATTAATATGCTTTAAAATGTTTATTAGAATGCGGTTTCTATATAAAATTACATTGAACAAATATATGGTCCCAGCTGCAACAGGTTAAATAGAAAAGGATCTCACTAAGTCTCCCTCTTCCTGTCAATACTCACTGATAGAGGATTTGACATCTATTGATTCTTGTATTTAATGCTGTGCTTCCCTATAGATTTTTTAGCCTTGAGTATTACTTTTAGTGAAGGTTGATGGATGACAAAAGTGTTATATACCTCTTGGGTGAGGCTACAGTTCAGCTGGGTATTAAATTCTAAAATGGAGTAGCAGAACTTCTGGAATGACTGTATTTGGAGCTTAGCAAATTCTTTCCCCAAAACGCAATGATAAAATTCGACAAAGCTTCAAAAAACAACCATTTAAAGACGCTGGGAACTAACTAAAGAGTATATTCATTAGTTTAAGAATTAGGTACTGAAAGAATACCAGTAATGGTAAAGATCTTTGAAAATTCTCCCCTCCATAAAAGCAGTGAGAAAAATGGAAAAAAAAACAAAAAACAGAACCAACTTTATAAGAAACTGAAATTAAATAAAAGTTTTTAGCAATCCAGGAAGAATTTATTCAAGAAAATCAGATGAATCCCAATGAAACAGCAAGATATGTGCTATTATCTGTATTATAATTTGCCTTATTCTCATCCTCTCCCCTCCAGCTCTGTGGTGGCCATGAAGACTAGCAGCCCAGTGAGGGTGAAAAACAGCATCAGGGAAGCCACCAGAGAGAGCAGAAAATGGTTGGAACTCCTTCAAAACCTCATTCCTAGGAAACTGTTATTATACGATCTGGCTGATGGTTCTCTGAAATATCCATCCCACTTGCAAAGATGTCTGTGTTCACACTGACTGGAGCTCAGTGAATTCCCTGGGAGAATTTGTCAAAAATAATTCAAGGTAATTATTAATCTTGTAGCTGCCTAAGGCAAACGATAACACTTGGGGCAAACAATAGGCTAACCAAAAAGCCTAAAGGAAAAACTGGGAAGCAAGATATACATAAGACCTCCAACATATTCCTAAAAATCTAGAAGGTGATTCACATGCAAAGGATTGTACACATGTCCAAGACTGTATGCATACTAAGACCTAAAAGGTCCTAATCTCTCACCTCAGGCTGACCAGTAGGCTCTATAGAAACAGGAAGTGAAGACTAAGGCAAATTGACAACTGCATAGCTTGGTGTTGAAGGCATGCACAGAGATCCTGAGCAAAGACTGGGAGACTTACTGGTTCCAAGTATTTAAGTAACTCTCTGTCCAATCATTAGCTGACCACTGAGCTAATCAAGCAGAAACTTCAGTGGCCACATATAACAAAGAATATAGATTTTATAGAATTCTTTCAAAAAAGTCACTAAACAAACAATAACAATGGCAAAAAGCAACAACAACAAACCCTGAGAGGTGGAAATGACCCTTATTTCCAGAGTTGCCACATATTTCCAACAAATAATTGTGAGACATGCGATGAAACAAGAAAGTATGGTCCATATAAAGGGAAAAAAGCAATCAATAGAAATTGTCCCTTAGGAAGTCCAGACATTGGACTTATGAGACAAAGATATTAAATCAGGTATTTAGAATATATTCAAGGGGAGGCAAGATGGCAGAGAAGTAGGGGAGCTCTGTACATTTCACTCACCCCCATCTCTCAAATGGAGAAGGCCTGAAGCCATAGGAACCCTTACAGAATGGAAGGAGTTTGGGAGGAAAAGAAGACAGAGTCTACAGAGAAAACAACCATATAGGTGTATGAGTGTGAACTGGGGAAGAGAAAAATGGGCCAGGACCCAGAGACACGGAGGGAGGGGAGGGAGTCCCCTTTGCGGGGAGCCGCGGTGAGTCGAGGGGAAAATAAAGAGCGGCTGAAACTGCTCATAGAACTGTCCCTGTCCTTGGAGAAGAGAAAAACCTAGGCTCGGGAAAGAAAGTAATCCAGTTTCTTGCTACGGAGCTGACATTGAGCTGGATGCCCGGGTACCAGGCGGCGCCAGGAGGAACTGCTCCTCTGTTCTCCCGCTCCACCTGGAAGGGAAGCAACGAGGCCTGAAACTGCTCCGCTGCTCTTTGGGCTCCATCCCCTGTGGGGAAGCAGCTGGCTTGAAATAGCTTGGAAGGACTTGGCCTGAGGGTTTACATTTCAGGCAATATCATAAAGCACAAGGACTAAGATCTGGAACGAGGCATGGCTTGATACATACAAAACAGCCCACCTTGGCTATGTCCGTGGCACTGGGACATAGGGAACAGACCCAAAAGAGTGATTTGCAATGCTTGGTTTGAGAAGTGACTCGGGAACCGCCATTTTACTCTGCACAAACAAACACCAAGGCGGGGCCTCAGGGAGTAGCCTACAGGACCCCCAATGGAGGCAAGATGTACCTACACCAAACCATGCCCATCCACACTGGAGAGCTGTCTTTTTTATTTTAACTGGAGCCCAGGGCAACACCAACATGTATACACTACCCTGATTAATTCTAGATCAATCCTTTCTATTCAGATATATTTTCCGTTGTCTCACTTGTATCCCTCCTCTCTGCTGGACTAGGCACTCTGGTCATTGGGTTGCTTAAACAGTCACATTTAATTCATTTCCTAGATGTATATTCTACGCCTCCACTGCTATCTTTCTATCTCTCTCCCTCTCTGGAGTAAACAGATGATATAGTTTCTCAGAGTAAGATTATCTTTGCTTCTTTCTCCTTGCCTCTTAACATATTCTCCTCTTTCTCTCTCTGAATTAAGCCTCTTAGTCTCTCTGCTGGTCACTGTCCAATTTTGCTTTCTCCCTGCCCTGATATTTCTCTCTTTGTATATGCTCTTCCATCAGCACTGCATACACCCTATTTATTTGAAGCTGGGAATTCTGGTTTTATGGTTTTAGACTGTTCTTTGTCTTTTGGGGTTTTTTTTCTTCGCTTTCCTTATTTTTTATTATTTGTTTTCCCTCCATCATCTTTTTTTTTGCTTCTGGTTTTTCCCCCCTTTTGGTCTGCTTGTTTGTTGGATTTGTTGGTGCGTTTGTGTGCCTTTCTTCCCTGTGTGTCTGTCTGTTTTCTTCTCCAGGGCTACCTCAAGAAACAAGCCAAAGTAAACATGGTGGAAAGTGCCAAATACCACTACAAGTACAGAAATAACATAAACAAAGTCTCAACAAGAGAGACCAAGAGATACCAGTCAAAGAACACTTCCTGAAGAGAGAGGCCGTAGACAGTCCAAAGCCTTTTTTAATACAGCAGTACTCACAGGTGCAGAGTGCATAACAAGCTTTAAAACTAACAAGACACAGAAAGCTAGCCAAAGAGACGAAATGGAAGAACTCTCCTCTAACGAAATTCCAGGAAGAAATGACAGCTAAAGAATGGCTCAAAACAGATAATAAGTAACATAACTGAACAAGACTTTAGAAAAATACTCATAAAATTAATCGCTGGGTTTGAAAAAGGCATGGAAGACATCAGAGAAACTATTGCTACAAAGACTATGGAGCTTCAAAATAGTTATCATGAATTTAAAAATGCTAAAAATGAGATGCATAAAAATGGAGACATCCAATGCACGGATTGAAGAGGCAGAGACGAGTATAGGTAAATTAGAAGACAATTATAGAAAAAGAAAAAGCCGAGAAAAAGAGACAAACTGATGCAGGAACATGAAAGGAGAGTTTGAGAGCTGAGTGATACAATCAAAGGAAACAATATCCATATCATAGGCATTCCAAAAGAGGAAGAAAGAGGAAAAGGTGCTGAAGGAGTCCTTGAAACAAATTATAGCAGCAAACGTCCCCAATCTGGGGAAGGAAAACAGACATTGAAATCCAAGAGGCACAGAGACCTCCTCTCAGACGTAACTTGAATCGATCTTCGGCATATGATTTCATGGGGAAAATGGCAAAATATAAAGACAAAGAGAGAATTCTGAAAGCAGCTAGGGATAAAAGGGCCCAAACATACAAAGGGAAACCTACCAGAGTGGTCACAGACCTATCTACTGAAACTTGGCAGGCCAGAAAGGAATGGCAGGAAATCTTCAATGTGATGAACAGAAAAAATATGTAGCCAAGAATCCTCTATCAAGCAAGCCTCTCATTCAGAATAGGAGAGATAAAAGTCTCAGCCGGGCTTCACAAAAAGAAAAGACAGAGCACCCAAAGAGACAAAATCATGAATGAAAATGGACTTATTACAACCAACCCCTCAGAAATACAAGCAATTATCAAGGAATACTATGAAAATTTATATGCCAACAAACTGGACAACTTAGAAGAAATGGACAAATTCCTAAACACACACTCACTACCAAAATTCACATGGGAAGAGATAGAAAATCTGAACAGACCCATAATTAGTGAAGAAATCGAATCAGTTATCAAAAATCTCCCAATGAATAAGAGCCAGATGGCTTCCCTGGGCCAGATGGCTTCCCTGGGGAATTCGACCAGACATTAATATCAGAATTAATACCCATTCTTCTCAAGCTATTCAAAAAAAATAGAAATGAAAGGAAAACTTCTGGACTCATTCTACGAAGCCAGCATCACTCTGATTCCCAAGCCAGACAGAGACCCAGCAGAAAGAGAGAACTACAGGCCAATATCCTTGATGAATACAGATGCAAAAATCCTCAACAAGATACTTGCAAATGGAAATCAACAGCACATAAAAAGAATTATCCAACAAGATCAAGTGGGATTCACTCCTGGGTCACAGGGCTGGTTCAATATTCACCCATCAATCATTGTGATAAATCACAATAACAAAAGATAAAAACCATATGATCCTGTCAATAGATGCAGAAAAAGCATTTGACAAAATACAGCATCCCTTCTTAATAAAAACCCTCGAGAAAGTCGGGATAGAAGAAA